TATATATAATCCATATGTAATAGAAACACCAGAAACTAATGAAAGTGCATAAGAACTGGCAAAAACTAGGACTTAGCAATATCAATGATTATTTTTATGATTATTTATGTCAACTTATTAATACTTGCCTCTTCTATTCACTTTTCTTATTCACTGATCTTCAGAGAAAATACAAATGGAATGATTATTACCAGGCAGAATTTGATCAAATAATAATTATATACCCTTAAGACTCTAGAAACAATGAAAACACAGTCAATCATGCACACTCTTGTTTTGAAGAACTTTTATTTTGTTTTCTATATAAGCAAACTGCCTGTCCCAGATTTTGTTCTTCAGTTTTTCAGTTAAACAAACACACTCGGTTAAGAATTTTCTATTGTTCAAAGGATTGGCAATCTTTTTCTGTGGCTTTCTAAAGTTTGAATAGTTAGAATATAATTTGATCTATGCATGTCAAACTGCTGGATTTTATCAAGTTACAAAAGGAGAGGAAAAATTCATTGACTACCAAAAGCATCAAAGGAATGATGATGGATCTATGGCATTTAATTTCCTTACATTTCTTAGTGAAGAATGTTCTGGAGGATTAGAATCTGAGCTAAGTCCTTGCATCACATTTTTTGCAATCCAACAGCTTCAGCATCTTTCTACACAGAGACGAGCTTAGGAAGGACACAGGTTCATGGAAGCAGTCCTTTTATGAGTACTATTACACATAATGTGCACACAAAAATTTGCACATAATGGGAAAAACTTCTGAAATTATTTTCCTATTTTTAGAAAGCATAAAGCCCTCAAATTCATAGTTACTTAAAGATTGAGGCTAACTTGGCAATAGCAGGCTTGAGCGATGGGAGTTAACATTTGAGAGCTGATGTTAAAAAAAAAAAAAAAAACCACACACAACCCCCAAAATCCTTAAGTATTGTTCTCCATCACCTCCTCCCAAAGAGCTACTCGACCTAGGAAACAAACAAATCTCGTCACGAGTACAGATAACCCCGGGCTTCAGATCTCTAATCTGGCTGTGGCCATCAGCAACCAGAAATGAGTTTCTTCTAATCAGCTTTCCATCAGTCCCCAGTCACTCATATAAAGGAGCCCAGGGAAGAGAGGAGGCGCAGTGCACTTCAGTACCAGGATTCTGGACAGCGCCCCGAACAGGCTGCCGCTGGACGCCCCTTCCTCTATCTTCACCGGCGCTGACCCTCTGGTCCCCCCTGCTGCTGAGAAAGAAAATTACATCGGGATCCATGCAGCCCGCGATGATGATGTTTTCCAGTAAATACTGGGCAAGGAGAGGGTTGTCCCTGGATTCAGCGGTGCCAGAAGAGCATCAGATACTTGGCAACTTAACAGTGAGTACTGAGTATCTGGCACTCTCCAGTGTTCTCTAGGGTAGTGATTGTCTTATCCTCACCATATGGACACCTGGTGTAGAGAAAGCGCGCACTCTAACTCCCTCCTCCTCTGGTATTGTCTTAGGGCTTTCCTTGGTTTGCCTGGACTTTCCACAAAGTAAAGCAGGTGGGCGGATTGCAGCGTGTTAAACTTCTTTCTTCAAAGTTGGAAGTTCCCCAACATGAAGAATGAAAGTGTATGAAACCAATGTCCTAAATTCACAACCTCCCCAAAGTATAGACCATTGAAAGCCCATTCATGATAAGAAAGACTTGGGAAATGGAATAAAGTCTATTTCTGTGGTTTCTACAAGACAAAACTGTCTCCTGCATCCTCTCCAAAACCTGTCTTATAAACAGAATATTTGTATTCTTGACTATAGGTGTGAGTTTTGGAATAAAGGAAAAATCAAGTGCCTTTTCCTAATGCTGTATTACTCCCTCTTTAAAGTTTAATTGATAAAATAATGAAATAAATATTCCATTTATTTAAATATTTAAAGGATTTTAATGTTTAAAATGTTAACACTAAAAAGATATTTATACATTACAATATTTGCAAAGTTTTAGATCCCAATTAGAGCAATAGTCATGAGATTTAATGAAAACAGTAGTTTTTATGTCATTAACATGAAGCAAGAATACATACAAACTCCTTGTCATTAAAATTTTTCAGTGGTAATTCACTGCTGTCATTTCAGTTTTCCAATCAATTTCAATTTAGCTTGTCATGGAAAAATCAGTTTTATGTCATAATTCAAAATATTTGTACTCTATTGATACAGTGTTACTATAAAATGTTAAAAAAACCAACCACAGCAACTTTCTTAGAACTATCTAAATCAAATTTTGAAAATGAGGCCAAAATGTAAATAGATTTTCTAGCATTCAAATATCATGACTATTTGGATGAGATGTTACATTGAGAAATTTTGAAGTTATAATGAATTGCTAGACAGAAATCAAAGAAAACTCAGTGTGGTTAATGTATGACCCCTTCACATAAAAAAACACTCCTTGTACATATGAGATCTGGGTGTTATGTGGAGAGGAGGAGGCAGATGTTAAAAATATGAAGACTTGAGCTTTTAATGATTAAGCATACTGTCAAATGCCAATGTGTGCATAAACTTCTCTCCCTCAAGTCGCAAATAATAAAACAGCCATTTCTATTATATATAAATTCAGCGATTGAGTCAATACTAATATGTGAAAATAAAGCCAGTACAGAAATTGGAGGAAGATAATGGCAAATCATTTTTCACTGGGTTCCATATCACACGTGCATTTCTCAGTTTCATGAGGATGTAGTGAGTGTGATTATATTACACCACCATTTGCCAAGGAGTTAGTTCTTCTTTTACTCAACTCTGCGTTCATATATAATGAGCACAAAACAGACCATCATAATTTTACATTCCAGAAAATGAACATTTCTGGTTTTGCTTTGTAAAATTCTACAGTGTGATCTGAATTGCTAGAACCTGTCATTTTTATCTCAGTATTTACAGATTCTACTGTTTATTCCTAATAATTAGCTAGCTGGTTTTCTTTTTTCCTTGCTACTTTCCACCCCTCTCCTTAATTTTAATAGTCACTTTTCAAATACCATCTTCTGACATAGAGGATTTTGGTTGAAAACACTCTTTTGTGTCAGACTTCTTCAATATGCAGGTGGATTCATATTGATTTGTGATGGTCCCATGGATCTAATTGCAGAAATTATCCATTTCAGTCCATGTCCTGACATATTTCAGAATGAAATAGATGCTTTTGTTTTAAAGACTTAATTGAAGCTAAATTTATTGTGGCCAAAAGTTCATATTTGGTCTCATTGTTGTTATAATTAGTAGTTATCGTAGTTTACATATAATTCAACTAAGCCAAATGATCAAATTCCATGCTACAAAATTAACACCCAAAGGCAGAAATTATTCATATATAATACTTTGTACTTAATAATAACCAGCTTTTTATTGCCATCAAACTGAAGCAAACCCGATCACCCCTAGTGTTGTCTTGAAACGCTGGAAAAGAGTGTTCTCGCATAAATTAGAGCTGAAGACAAAGTTATGAGTGCTGTGGCATGTCTACCTTTCATTGTGTGATGAGTAGGGCTTCCAGCACACAAGTGGACTATCCAGGAAAAAGTAAATTCTGGAAACCCCTGGAATCTAATTTTTTTGTGCTTCTACTTTCTTGAAGCTAAATAAAGCTGCCTCTAGCAAAAATGATGATAAAAAAAGCAGCAGAGGAAGCAGCAAGAGTGACACCACCACGGAGAGCGGCAAGACAGCAGTGGTGTTTTCCTTGAAGAATGAAGTTGGTGGACTGGTAAAAGCACTGAGACTTTTTCAGGTGAATGCAGAGCACTGTTACATAGCTTTAAAGTAGCTGTGTGTCTGGCTACAGACCCGTCATCAATTTCTGGAAATTGATGCATCAATTTCTGGAAAATGGAGTGAGAGATTCAGGGGGACCAAATTTCATGAGGCTTTACAAGGGAAGTTTCTTTTGTAAAACAATGAAATAAGCTGGTTCATGTGAACTGTAATATACTAATTTGGAGTTAGCCTGTCAGGAACTCTGTAGGCTGTTGCCAGGTGAAAGAGTCTGTGATTAAAAAAATGTGAGCTTCAGACATGAAAATGTGCATACATGGACACATACACACATGCATATATACACGTGCACATATAACAACAGGGTACTTTAAAATATCAAGAGTCTGTACCTTGATTTGATTTTCTAAATTTGAATTGTACACATGTAATAAGAGCAAATTTATCACATAAGGTGAGATATATGTATATAGGCACTTTTCCCCCCCAAGCCTCATTGTTTCATGAACTGAATGTGTGTTCTGTAAAGATGAGTTACCTTCCTTTTATATACTTATAGAAGTATATAGCTTTTTCTCTACATAAAGAACCCTACATAAAGAGCCTGGGTGAGGATGAGTTTATTGCCTCCTTGTCAGTCTACACTTGGCATCTCCTCCACCTGTTAGTAGGAACTTGTACCAATGCATTTTGTTGCGGTCAATAGCTTTTGATTATAGTTGTAAGATAAGGAGCCTAACTCTTCCCGGTTCCTTGAGCTGTGGCACAGTGGAGAGAGATAGTAGGAACTGTAGTTAAGGAATTTGGACCTGTGTTCTCCTGGTCTCTAACCTCTCGCTGCTCCAACATTCAATTTCCTTATTTGTGAAATGGTTATAATAATTCCTGCCTATCTAGGTTGTTGGGATGAAATAATATGAGAGTACTTTGTAAAATGTACAGACAGGAGACATTATTATGATTTCTCTAGGATGATTTTTGGATGGGGAGTTAATCTGATTTGGAAAATATTTCCTTGTTTCCTTTTGACCTTGAAGAAAGGATCAGGTACCACAAACAGCGCTAATGGAAATATGGAGTAGTATTTTACACATAATTATGTCATGTAGGTCTATGTCTATACAGTGCCCAGAGGCAAACCAATTCAATTAGACAGCTGGGTACAATGGAGAAATCCCTGGAGAAGGAGTTAGCACTCTGAGTTTTTACTCTGCCATCAGCTAGTCACTGGGCCTTAGCTAAACCACTTAACCCACTGGGACCTCAGTGCTCTGGTCTAAAAATATCTACTCAGATTTAACCAAAGGACATTAAAAACCCAAGTGACACAATGCATGTAAAGTCTCCTGGGCCTTGAACTTAAAATTAATCTCATTTTTATTATTAGCCTACTTGCAAAATATAGCATTATTGCAAAGTTTAATTAAAACATAAATAGAACATCTGGTTTTCTGGCCATAGGACTTGTTTCTTTACGTAGGAGAGGATACTGTCTGATTTGATCCTATCTTCTGCTAGAAATTACTTATCCCGCTTAGCCTATGCTGAAAATTCTGAGG